TCCTTCTGAAGTTAATGATTGAGTACCACTCCGTGGGAAACAAATTGGAAGTCGCACACTATGTTTATACAGTTTATATATAGGAACAAAATATGTATTACCTTCCAGAGCAGTTATTATGGTTTCATCTATGTTGTTACTACCGAGGTTTCACTTGAGCATTGCTGAGCCTATTCCTATAGCCAAGTCTCAGCATTATCTCTCACATATTTGAGTTTGCACTGGGTCATTGACGTAGGCTGAGGGTAAGACTGCAATTCAGTGCGAACTATTGACTACTGGTCTTGATTGGAAAGTAAACTTAGTTTTATCGCATTATCATTATTGACAGAGGCATATACACGATCATTATTCAAAGTATTACTAAGTAGGTTGCGTGAAATCAGGAGGTAAGTACGACTCGTCGGCTGCAGGTTAGTTTCCGACGATTAAAATTCTTTGTCCGCGTCAGTTCGGCTTCGGATAATAGAGCGGATAAGCTAGTTAAAGGTTTTAATTGTATGCTGAAGAAGTTTCCTTTCAACTGTTTTTGATCGACAACGCAGTTTATTTTAAATATGCCGGTTTTAAGAAATCAGCTATGGGAGACAGAGAAAATGTTTTAATTCAGGCATTGGAAGGAATTATCGACATTCTACTCAAATAAGCATCATATTAAACAGCTGAACGCCAGCAACTTTGTGTGTACTGACAAAGCCTTCGTGAAGAATGCTGTTTAAGTGGTATATCAAGTTAAACTGTGCTTATTAAAGATTATTTGACGTCTTCAAACTTTGTTTGAAGGAAAGGTGAGCTAGAAGTTGCACAAGACAGCGTAAATCTTTTTGTCTGATTGTCAGTAAAAAATCATAATTCATGTTGCGTTATAAACGCTCATTTTCTGCATGGGCCGAGAAAAAACGGTCTTCTTTGTAGCCCATCCTGCTACGTACTAAGGCTTAATAAATATTGTCCGCGTAAGGGCAATAAATCTCGTGCTCTAGGACAAAGTGGTGGGAACAAGTCAGTTTGCTCGCTAGAATTATGTAAAGGCGTACTCAAATTCAGCTCATAATATATAGGTAATGTGAAAGGCACGAAATGTAGTTCGCCGCAGTTCCTCCCCTCATGACTTACTTCCCCTGCCCTTATAATGAGAATGCACTGGATGAAAAAGGAAAAGATACCTTCCGCCATTACGGAAATTCCGATTCGATGCTGTCTCATTTACATGAAGCATGGTGAAATTATTCTGTTTTGTTAGACGGACAGGTGTAAAGTAGAACGTAGAACGCGAATCGGTCGATCGAACTTGATACTTCGAAGTTATGCATTGTCACCCCCGACGTACGGCACAGTTTTCTTGGGAAGTGGAACGCGGTACAACTTTCACTTGTGATTAAGTTGTCGTCAGCATTGAAACAACATCCACGTAGATGTTACTCTTTTCTCGAAAGTCATGAAGGAAGAGAAGTAAATCAGTGGGATCGATGGGATCGAGTGGCATGCTGCGAAACCACCTAAGTTCGGTTTCCACTAATTATGTATTTCCTACATGTGTACTATATGAGGAACCGACAGTTCGTCTCATACATATATATATATAAAGCATGCGCCTTTTTCGGTCTCGCTTTGTTTACTGAATTCGGGCGGGCTGTGTCTTTGTATTCATACAGTTTGTTGTTGTTATCTGGGATATCAGGGTTACCCAGATTAATGATGTCTGGCGCATTGGTTTCTCAGAATGATTGTTACACTTTAATAAGGTTTAATGTTTTTGTGCTGTGGTAGAGTTAAATTATGATTTAGAAAAAAAGAGGTGGATAATGTAAATTCACATGCAAACGCATCATAATTGTTTTAAAGATGAGAAAGATTATAAAGAAATATAGAGGTGGACAAAGCTTAACGGCCATACGGCGTAATCTTAATCTGGCATCATGAACGGAAAACACAGTGGTGAAAAATTTTCCCTTTTGAAAAGGGATATGAACATGATATCGACGAAATGATGGCTCGCATGGGGACGTGTTATCAAAAGAAGAACTCATTGAATTGGCAGCAGAAAGTTGCTGAAGCTAAATCTTCAGATTCAGAAGAGGAACCGAAACGTTTCATTAAGAACATGATGACAGTCGCATTCCCTGAGATTTAGACACGATAGTCTACATGCTTCATGGCTCTTAAAAATACGTAAGGTAATAGACGCTTTAGCCGGTTATCGAGAGATTCATAAAGAGAAGAAAGAAGTAGCAGTTCAGACATTTCTTGACAATTTTATAAGGAATGTTGAACGGCCAAATTAAACTTCTTTTAATTGTCCCCCCCCCAAAAAAAAAGAGGAAAATCGGAATTATATTTTGTCATGGTTCGCCTGCCGAT